GACAAACTCAGTCTTTGACAATGTAAGAATAAAAGACTGATTCGGTTTACATTTCCGTTTAGAAAGACTCGTACTTTTTCTTGTGGAAGAAACTGGAGTCTACAACTAAACATGAGGCAGTATGAACAGTTTGTATCGTTATGCAATCCTAATACACAGTAGTGAATAGACGACGTAAGTTCTTTGACATCTTGAACAACTTGATCATAGTCTGCCTTCAGTTTCTTGTGAATGTTTGAGCTTAGTTTTCCTTTTGCAGGCTTTGTTAAAAACCAGAACACAACATGCTGGCCACTTAGTTGCTTTAGCAGTGGCAAGATCCTAAGGAAAGGAGAAAATGATAGCGATGAAAATATTTAGTTTCTGCAAGTTAAAAAGATGGTCAGTGCTCTAATAGTTTGAGTTCAGAAATCAAATGAGAAAACTTACCTCCTTTGAGATGTACGGTATGTCTGATTCTTTGCTCGTGATTGGGAGATTAGTTATGACATCAATATGAGAAATATATCCAGCTATGACACAGATTCTGCATAAAAACAAAACTCGTAACTGATTTTCACATGAACAGAGAAACACATATAAGGCGAGTGTTGTTCAACTGGTTTGAAGATTACCAAGCAAAACGAAGCTAAACCTGAAAAACTAACCCTTTATGGCCACGGCAAATGCTTTTAACCACTTCTTTCACTCCTCTCTTCACACATTTGTTTTTTAGCAGCTGAAAAGGTGATAAGACGAGATTAACAAAAGTTGCTAAGTTAAAAAGTCATGATTTCCTTTGCTAGTCAAAGGATGTGTCAGTGTAATAAACACAAAGTACAAGACTTTGAAGGGGAACTTACGTTTTCACGTATTGTATAAAGATTTGGATTAAAATTTTGTTTCATACATAATAATACCCATCTCTCTCTCTCTCTCTCCCTCTCCTGGACGTTTAAGCTAGGGTTGACTATTATTCTATACTAAGTCTACGAGTCAGCAAACCCACAAAACTCAAACATAAGCCGTTGAGTGATCTAGGTTCGTTTTATCGGTTTATTTTCAAGCCGGTTCTTATTTCTCACCAAATCAATTTAAACGCCAACACATTTAATCGGTTTGACACTTTGACTGGTGAGATTTTGGATGTAGACAGTTAATTCTGTTATTTTTAATAATGAGTTGATAATAATTGTGATTTTTATTTAACAGAATACTACAATATCATAATACTATAATAAATGTTATGACATAATTCCATGATATACTTCATACAAACTTTATTCTTTTTTTTTTTTTTTTTGTCATCGTACAAACTTTATTCTATTTCACATGTTTGCAAACTATGAGCCTATGAGGAGATCCCTAGAGCCGAGCAGCCAGCTGGTTCGAAGTGTCTATCGTTGAGCCAGAAGCTGAACCTTCAGCCCGATTATTAGAACATAAGTAGTTAAGTGACTGTAGCCAAGATACCAAAGATGGCTTGCGAATCACATCGTCTGACTCAGCCACTTGACCATACAATTCACCAAGTACCATGTTCTGTCTTTCTTTCGGTAAATTTATAATTAGATGTGCCAATGACTTCATCAGATATGGTAACACCTGAACCCAAAAAAGTATGTTAACACACATCATTAGAAGAGCACACAAGTCATTCTCTAGTAGCTCAATTAATTGGATGGAAACTTACTTGTATATCAACCAAAGAGACAAGTCGCAAAAGCAGCTCAAGAATCTGATTACCGGGATCAGACTTTCTTCCTTGCAATGACTTGGAGCTAAAAGTAGAAGCCTTCTCAACAAGGCTATGAATAGAATAAAATATAGCAGGACTTCCTGCAGGTAGATGCCGGACCAAGGTTGCAACGCCTGAAGCTAAACCTTCAAAAGGTGTGATCTCAGGATAAACCTGCAGTTATTTCAACAAATCATATATATTACTGATGATGAATAAACAAAAAAGAGAGCTACATGGCATCCATTTTCCTGTTTGCTTAGGTACCTCCAAAGATCGTTGCATGTAATAGAAAATAAGGTGTTCTTTGAGTTGGTCTCTTTCGTCCTCCTCTGACTCTCTTGCTGAAGAGAGAAATGCAACCAATAAAGTATGAGATGCGCGCGCCACTTTTCTGTTGGGATGTCCAATACATCTAGACACAGGATTGTTGAGGAATAGCAAAGATGGTAATCAAAGTTAAACAGAAAAGGGTAAAAGACATAATTATTGATCTTTTCTATAGGATACAAAAACATGGTTGATGTAACGACTCTCCTGAAGGCAGAAGCGGATAAGCGTCCAATGCAAGTTGGGATTACGCGAAGATAAAACAATATTCGAGATGTCTGCACATCGTCTCTTGACCATTCATATTCTATCTGCTGTGTAAACAAGTCTGCAGCAAGAACAACATAATATTCCAAATCTTACTAACGTATTAGCCTACAGAAAATTTCGAATATGGAAATTACAGAAGAATTGATTTGTCAAACCTTTCGGATTTGTCAAGCTATCATATGCAGGAATGGACTCAACAAATGAAAAACAAGTCGCATCATCCTCCTGGATACATGAAATCACCTCTCTAATTGTCTCCATGTATTCAGGTAAACGAATATGCCTAAAATACTCTACACAGGAGAATGAAACTAATATTTTGACTGACGTCTCCATCTTTCTTTCTCTAGACACTGTTGGTTTTAGCCATTGTTTCGTAACAGCTAGCGCAAAGACGACAACCATAAGAAAAGATGATTCTGCAATTTTCTCTATGTCTCCAAGTAATGTATCTTCTATACCGCGAAGTAACAGAGCAATTTGACGGTGCTGTAAGTAGAGATTTTGACAAAAATCCCAAATCATGTTCTCCACAATATACTTGTTCTCTTCACTTGCTGATGAATATTGATTGCAGAAAGCCCCAGTTATGGCCCCTGATTCGTTGAAGAGAACGTCAGATAGATGCTCCCTGACCCAAATGAGTCTTGGTCCAATAGGATCTTTGCCAAAAGCTTTGCAAAATGAATCATATATTTGGCCTGCAGGAAATACTTGAGTTAACAAGGCAGAAGCGAGACACAAAAGCAGAGGAGCAGAGGAAGAAACAGGTCCACATCGAGCAAATGCTATAGCAAAGTACTTCAACAGGGGGCCTTCTCTCTGAGTACTTGGCAGGGTAACATTAACATTAGACATTATAAGCTGAGCTACAAATTCCATTCGCTTCTCAGCTGAATTTCTTAGTTTAGAAATCTCAAAACTCTGTGCACCAGTACTGAATCTTGCCGCGGAAGCCCTTAGTACCCCAGCTGCTGCCATAAAGACAGCAAGAACAGTATAATTTTCCTTGGAAGTCTCTAGTACCTCGTTCATAAAAAGAGAGATCTTGTTGACGTAATTAGACCTCATATAACCTGACACAACCCACTCGATCAAATGAAGAATCATCAGACCATAAGTGACATTGCCATGAGAACCCTCGCTTTCCAACCAAATGCCAAACAAGAAATCCAATAATCTGATGTAATGAACATCCAACGAAGAAGATAAAGCATACCCAATTCCAGCAAGCACTACAGGAACAAGTACTTCTTGAGATCCCACCAATGAGCTCTCTTTTTCCAGAAGCCTGCATAGCAATTCCAAGCATAATAATTTCAAGTCTCCTGACAGAGAAGGAACGCACGCAAAGGCACCAGAGAGCAAAACACTTTGTGCTACTAAGGCTGGGTGGAGATAACGCTTGTCATCAACAACACCGTGAATGGCCTGAACCGCTGAACCAACAAGAGCCTGAGACGGCCGAAAGGCTTTCCTAATCCACACATAGAGTAGTCTAAGAACGAGAGTGTAAGACTCAGAGGGAAGAGATACATCTCGTAAAGCAAGTATGGAAATAAGAAGCTTTGCTTGGGGATCGGCAACATGGATAGAGGACTCAGAGCTAACCAAAGCTCTCAGAGCTTGAAGGTAACGCGTATCAAAGTTGTGGTTTTGAAGAGATTCACGAATCTCAGACCATGCTTGAATAATTGACCTCGCGGACGGATCAGAATTTTGCTTAACCAACTCACCAGAGACTTTAGTTCCACTAGCAGTCCTTAACCATTCTTCCAGAAAAAAACTGTTGTTAGCTTTTCTCGCCATCTCTTACTTCTACGACTAAATTCAGTAGATCCTCATCAAGTATTAGCACCTAGACCACAATAGATTAATTCAGAGCTGAGATAAACGGGAACTAGCGAAAAAAATCAGCATAAACTCTTCGAAATACGCAAACCCCAGACGAGGTCGAACAAGAGCTTCAATTATTCATAAATCCGAACATCGGCTGGTCAACCACCGCTCTCCGGCAAAAATTTGAAGAGGATTTGGCTACGGCAGCGAGTTCACGCCGAGGTCTTTCCCCTCTTGCAGGTAAAAAGAGGAAACCGCCGGAAAACTAGATAATCTGATGGTACTGCAAACATTTGTTTGTGGTTAAGGATAATCCAAATAACCGCGAAACCGGAGTTAAAACCGTATGGTTCGGAGTAAACCAGATCCGGGATAGTTTTGAACTACTTCAATGAGCTCATGTATACGTAATAAGTAATAATCTAAATATGTAAATTGAACTAGTAGTAGTTTGCGAAATGAGAAGCACATGAGTTCATTCAATTCCTCGTTGTCTGCTTCCCTCACAATTCAGGAAAAAAGTTTGCACAAAATCTGGAAAAGGAGCTTAATTAAGTCAACTCTTCACGTGACTGGTAACCTTAATTAACTCATCATTTTTGTTAATTAACCTTACGTAAAATCACAGTAAATGTGTAGACAACTACAAACAAGAGGTTGAATTTTGGGATACCTTTCAGATCAAATATGATAAATTTAAAACTTATATGTATCATGCATGATCTTTTTTTAGCCAACCACGCTGTTTTGTTTTTACAACCTAATCTGAAGATAAATATAGTATATGATAAACAAGATGAGTAAAATTACATCATTTTACATAAAAAGTGAAAAACTTCACATGACAAAGAAGAATAAAGAATGCAACACATGTACTTCCTAAGAAATAATATTAGCTTTCCTCTTGTAAGTTAATTTTCAAGTAATATACTTGTTTTACTATATAATATTTAGAAGAAAAAAAATAAAGAAAATTTAAGAGAAAAAAAAAATAGGAAGACCAATCAGTGGTGCAAGGGGTTTGGACCAGATGGGACGAGTCGTTTCTCAACGCCATATCTCGGGTCGATCTCTGATCCTCCCGGCGGAGAAACTTTTCGATGATGATTACTCCGGTGAAGATCTTGCAAGAACGGTGTGAAGTCAAACTTTTTCATCGCCAAACCTCTTCTTCCCGGCCGGTAGTAAAGAGGTGGTGAGGTTATAACCGGAGAAGGAAAAGAGTTTATGGCTATGGAGCTGAAATTAACAAACAACCCTTTAGAGACGAAGAGGAAAACAGAGATCCAAAGAAAAAACCCTGAGACACGTGAGATTCTACTTGTGGCCATGGAGATATAAAAGATCATAGGACCATCGAAGATAAGAGAGTATAGTGTTAATATATATACACACACGTATACGTATGTTATGTAGTTATGACTTATGTACAGAGAGAGGGAGAGAGATGTGAATTGGAGACAGCGTTTTCCAACGAAGAAACTTCCTTTGCGTTCAAGGAAGAAGAGGGCTCATTAAATTTGTAGTTCATATAAAGTCAAACTTCTCATCATGTATTATTTTATTTCACATCATATTCTTTTATATACAAAAGCTTAATTAACAAAGATACAAAGAGAGAAACATAGTGGAACGAAATTGCATAAAAACTTCAAGCTAAGATAAGATAATTAACAAATTTTGTCAGCACATTGAACGATTAATGTTTTTTCTGTTTAATATAGTATTCCAATTATGTATGAAAAGATTATTTTTTATGAACAAAACAAACAAGATTGTCGCATTACAAGAGCCACTTATGTTTCTTTATAAAATAGCAAAACCGAAAACAAAACAAAATATTAGAAATTACAAAATGGTGGTTTAATTTAGATATGTCTATTGTCTTGTTGCATGCATAGTCAGTAATATGTTTCTTTCAAAACTGGAAGGTATTAGGATCGATGGGTTCACCGTTCAGTGCTTAATCTCGAAATCGACAACTCTCATGTGATTTTTACAGCGACAAAAACAAATGCATCTAGCGAAAATTAATCCACAACCTATGCATTTTTGTCACTCTTCACACGCGTATATATATGAAAATAATATATAGTATATAACTCGAATATCGATGCGTATGTGTACATAAAATAGTTGATATTCAATACTACTAGTAGACGGTACACGAGTACCAAAATAATCAATTGAAAATATAGACATGGGTTGACATCACCAAACAATTAACGATATTCACCGTCAGAATAACTAAGTTTTGAGTTTTGACATCCCAAAATAGTATACGACTAAACTAAATACGAGGGCGGTCAAGTATGTACCAAGTTTTGACATCACACTTTGTTTTATATTTGAGAACGTAAGATTATCGAGGATATCTTAATTCTAAAATATCTTTGATAATGTTGGTCTTAGACATCTTTTAATGGTCAATAGCCGTATTTTTGGCTCTTTTATGATTAAACCGATCTTAACAAAAGAAATAACATATCTAAACGTGATTATTTATTGGCCGACATTTTATACATCACTCATAAAAAAGATGCATCGTTTTAATAGGGGGCTTATTATGAATTGGGAGTTACCTTTTTTTTTTTATCACGACAGAAGTTGACAATTAACATGTTAGTACAAACAACTGAACAAGTCTCGGGCGATTGCCAAAAACCTAATCGTCGAAAGTTTTCACCAGCCGCTATCTTGCTTGCCTCTCCGGTGTTCGGTTGCGACCGACGCCGTGAGAGGGCTCTTTTGCTTCTGTTTGTTTGCTTGTCGTTTCGGTTCTGCGCATGAAGCTCTCGATCGTTTCAGGAATTTGTCTTGATTTCTCGCGGCGCTTTGGTTGGAGCTCCGCCGTGCGTGTCGGCCTCTCGAGGTGGATGGGTGCTCCTCCGTTTTGACCCCTCTCGCTAGTCGACGACTTGAGGCTACGACGGAGTTTGATTTCCTCTCTCTTCGCCACGCAATTTCGACCGGCGAGATCTACTTGTAGATCTGGCTCCACCTCTTTGATTCCTAGCGGCGGACCAAACACCTCTCGGCGGTTTTGCTACAGCTGTGGTGACGATCTGCCGTGTTTCAACGGTTTCTATTTCTCCTTAGCTCTGCGCTTCGGAGATCGCCGTGTTTCGACCCACATTAACCGGTGATTAGACGGGATATCAAACGGTCTATTTCGCTTGAGGACGGCGTTTGTTTCCTGACGTTTTGCAGTCTCTGTTTTCACCGTGTGGTTCGATCTCGTCCTTTGGAGCTTAGCCTTGCGAGTGGATTCGATGTCTGATTCGGAGCGAGTCGTGTTTGTTTTTCTCGGCTTATCACTTCGTCTCGTTTAGATGTCGAAGCCTCACCACTCTAGCTTCTCTCCTTCGGATAGGTTTTCTTGACAATGCTTCTAGTAAGCTTCAGTTTAGGTCTTCTTTCTCGACAATAAGGCTCGGCGATCGTTTGGACGCTTCTCTGTTGGTCAAATATGTCTGAAGACAGCAGCATATCTTGTAGGAGAGTGTCTTTTTTGACGCGTTGGGCATTGTTTATTGTCTTGGCTGCTCCTTTTTGAGCTTTTCAGGAGCTCCGGTGTTGCTGCTTTGGGATGTTTTGGCTACCGGTGGTGGTTCTTTATAACATCTCCATTTCGTGAGTATTACTGGTATTTCTTGTTTCGTTGTTTGCTTTTTGCCCTGATATTGGTTGTGTCTTGTTGCTGCTGGTGCTGTGAGTTGAAGTTAGTGTACCAGAAAGTTTCTGCCTGTTATTTTGCTTGCTGGGTGAGCTAGAGGAGCTAGTAAGACTAATAGCTTACGGTGTGGTGTTAAGATGAGTATTTAGCTCTGTACTAGCTGACTCCGGGGAATGGACTTGGTAGGGGGAGCTCACACCGTTTGCAGTTTTTAGTTTGTGAGGTTTCATTCTAGGAAAGCTCATGGATGTTGTTAGATGAGCCACTCTCACATGATGCCGGGGACGTATGTGATCGAGGGCTCTGTAAACTTCGCCGTTGACAGCTTAGTCCTGAACCTCCATTGAAAGGCTTCTAGTGCGTCTTTTGCTTGAGAATTGTGGCTTCTTCAATCTGTTCTCGTTCTTCGTCTTCAGCTTGGCACTCCTGAAGAACACCTTTATCGTTATCACTTCGTCAAACTCCTCGTGTCTATGTTGAGTGGATAGACTGAGATCATTTTTATGAATTATGCTTCCATGTTTTTATCTTTTTTGCCATGGGACCATTTTTATAGGATTATAATCTATGATTGTAAACCTAAACATTTTCATTTTTAATGAAATATTTACATTCTTAGCAAAAAAAAAAAAAAACTGAACAAGTCTCCAGTTTTTTTAAAAAGGGTTAAAAAGAGAATGGACTTACAAAATAATGGGCCAACTTCGAAAATGTTTTAACGAAGCCCATTAGATGCCCATAAGATTGGTAAGACGGTAAGAGTATATTAGAAAACATTATAAAACATAGAGGAGTTTTCTGTAATATAGAAAAACTAACCCGTCGATTTATATATAAGAAGGTTTGCTCTCCGGCCAACGAACGTCTCAGGCCTCAGGGAAAAAAGTCGGAACATGGCGAAGGCTAAGAAGCCGAAGAACGAGGAAGCTCCTGGCGCGAAGACTTCCGAGAACACTGGAGCTAAAGTTCTTCACCAGAAGCTCGCTCTTTCTATCGACTTCCAAAAACGCCAAATCTACGGGTACCTTTTCCTTCTCTTTGCTTTCGATTGTTCATCCTCGAAACGAATCCGTGAATGTGATTTATAGCTGCTACATGCAAATTCGCGATGAAGAAACCCTATTTCTGAGCAGAAGTTGAATTTTACACCGACACTATTCTTTGAATTTCTCAATTCTTCTTCTAGTCCTCTGCTTTTTTTTTTTTTTTTTGGGGTTTTACTTATATAGTCCTTGGTTTTATCGTTCTTGGCTGCGGTTTCTTACGGGTTTGTTTTTGGCTTTCTACAGTCACACAGAGTTAGAGGTGAGTGTGCCAGATATTGGTATCGTGGGACTACACGCGGAGAACTTGGGAATTGAGAGTGTTTTGGTAGATGGGGAACCCACTGTCTTTGAGTACTATCCGCATCATCAGAACTCTGAAAATGAGAGTAACTGGAACTCGGTCTCTGACCCTGCTTCAGCAGCTGATGCTGCGGCTATGGAATATGTCGGGGTTCTTAAGAGAGAAGACACCGCAAATTTACTGATTAACTGTTGCAAGCCCTCTAAGGATTTATCTGAACAGCTAGATAACGTGGCTTTAGAAAATGGTTCCCAATCATCCGGAGACGCAAAACAGGTAATTGTTCTGATTCCCTACATGTATTAATGAGATGTAATGGACTTAAAATTGCACGAACTGCGTTAAGGTGGTTTGAAGTACAGATCAGAAACCGTGGTTTTTTTTACTATTTAACTATGGTGTATACTGAAAAGCAACATGGCTATAGGTATTTAGACCTAGTATTCACCTTTCCTATGCTTACTCTTCGATTGCCTTTACTAAAAGATAAAACATTTCAAGTTATCTATTCACGGACTTGTTCAATGCTAAATAAGAATTTGCCATGTTGGTAGCTGAATTTCGTAAAAACGAATGCAATCGACATGGTAGCTATCAATAATTTTTTGTTATTCCTCACTCTCATATGTTCTGCTATGGGTTACAACTGAGAGCTGGCCTTTGTTCAACTACTTATATATGCTCATATGATGCAGAATGTTAAATTGATTCGGATTAACTACTGGGTAGAGAAAAAAGAGTCAGGAATTCATTTTGATGAGAACATTGTACATACCGATAACCAGATGAGACGAGCTCGCTGTTGGTTTCCTTGTATAGATGATGAGTACCATCGTTGCAGGTATTCATTTTTTTCAAGAACTAACTCTGTTTTCATGTTTCTAGTCTCTTGAGATCAAGAGGGGGTATCTTAACCTGTTTAACCTTTTTCATTTAACACTTTGTGGTGGATGCAGTTTCGATTTGGAATTCACTGTTCCACACAACTTTGTGGCTGTCAGTGTTGGAAAATTACTTTACCAGGTAAGATGTATATCTTTTACGTGAATGGATTAGAGGAAATACTATTTTGTTAGATCTGGTATTTTACGTGCAAATTTGAATGAAAAAACTTAGAATAACGCTGTGGTTCCCATGACTTATGGAATCTATGTCCAATTTTGGTTTCACCTTTGATAGGAAAGAAGCTATATCTTGTGCCCTTTTAATCAGAAAGTTTACTATCTCTGTCTGCTAAACCTGGAAAATTGTTAATTGTCCTGCCCTTTGATCATCAGAATATTTTATTTAGTATAGTTATCTAATGAATCTGGAATAAATAGAAGATTACTCCTCTGTTATATTGTCTGCATAACTATCTGGAAAGTTGAGAATCTGTGGAATATGTGGATTCTTAAACTTTCGCACTTTGTAGGTTATGTGCAAAGAAGATACTACTCGAAAAACTTATGTATACGAACTAGCTATTCCTATCGCTCCCCG